GAACCGCCCCCCCCCCCCTCTCCCTCTCGACTTCTTCCCTCCAGGTAGACGAAACAAGCGTCAAGTCTGCATCAGACTGACCATCAGGTGATGCAGAACTTGCCAAATGGAACTGGAGATGTGGCTATTTGCATAGCTGGAGAATCAGAGTATAAATTACAGCTGATCTAATTAGTCCCCGTATGATTCGGAAAATATTCGAATCTCATATGTTCACTTTCATCGATAATCTTTCGAGTCATATTATCCATTATACAACCGGCTCTCTGTGCTTCATGCTAACTGAAAGTATGTGGGCCTATACGTCTAGTGATAGAAAACGCAGACTTTGGGCGAGCTGCAGCCTAAAGCCTCCATTTTTGCCGAATTTTTCGCGAGTATCCATGACATACAGGATCTTTAAAATGGCTGTTTACATCAAAAAAAAATTTAAAAGTGCCACTTTTTCTAGCCCTCACAGAAAAATTCTCGCTTCATTCCTTCTGCAAACATATGTAATGCAAAATAACGAAAGTGGAAAACACAAACCGATTGCGGTTCGTTCTCGTAAACAGTCACATAGGAACGGAAACTATCGCGATGGTTCTGGTGCTGCTGCTGCTCATTGAACGGATGTTGCAACATGTCGACGACAAGCCATACAACCTGAAAAACGTTGTTAGTGCATTTCCATTAAAAAAAAATTTCAAAATACTGACAGCATTTACCAAAACTCGGCGAGAGTCGGCCGAACTGGAAGATGAGTTACTTTTTTTCGCGACATGATCTCTCAGATGGCGGGGTAACAATGCAGGTGGTCGGAAGGGAGAAAAGGCTAAGATGGTAGTTTGGGATGTCCCCCCTCTATGTAGGTGTTAATGCACTGAAACCTATCCCCCGGGATAAGCGAGCAATGGCCTACCAAATTTTTTTTGGCACAAGTTCATAACTCGGGGATCTGGGAAGCTAGAACGCTGAACGCCCTCGTCAAACCGCCGCCACCTAAGTAATCACTGACCCCTGGGGTATAAAAGCACTCCTCCCCATTGACGGGTGTGCGATAAATCTTCAAGGACTTTTAACCTATCTTCCTTTTATTCCTGCTCTGAGAAACCTCAACACTGCTAACTAGCTTGTAGCAAGTGTTGAGGCAGGTTATAGGCCGGTAATTAGATGGATCAGCTCTATCGCCAGCTTTATAGAGCAATACCGTTCGACCTTTGCAGAACCATAGTTTGGCTCACAAGGGTACGGTGAGAGGGTGGCGGGAGTTGTAACTAGGATAATGACTAGAAAGGAATTGAGACTTTGCTTGGAGGTCTGAATGCGATTAGGAGTGGGAATCATCAGCGCGGCCTTTGCTACTGGCCATTTAAGGAAGGAATTTAT